CAATAAATTTGTGTAAAAGTTTAAATATAATTTGTCAATACTTATAAGGAGTTCGGTCCAGACCTGCTCTATTTGAAAAGTGTCCTGAGATAACTTATTTTGTGAATTGGCGCTATACAAATAAAATTGAATTGAATTGAGATAAATATATATAGTAAATATAATATAATTTATACATTATATATAATATATAATACAATATATAAATATAATAATATATATAGTAATAATGATCATAATATTGTTATATGAATGATGTATAACTTAACATAAAACTTTATTAAGCATCTATCATACAGAAATAAACTTTTTAAAAGCAAACATTGAGTATGTTCATTAAACCCAGCGGAGCGTCTGAAAGGGAGAGTCAACAGATTAATGCTTCATCTCCTCCCTGTCACTTCCTGTCAGCTGGTACCTCTCTGATGTCCCCACCCCCACCACCACCTTCAGGCTCAACCAGGAGACTCTGAAATACCAATCCTTAGAAACTGTCACCTCACATTACACCGAGTGTGTGTGTGTGTGTGGTGGTTCTGAATACAGCTCAGTCTTCAGTGTGTAAGTCTTTAACTAGATTCAGTGTTTGGTTTGTTCATTCCGGGCTACTGTAGAAACCTGGTGGTTCAAACCCCTCTGATGGCGGACTCAACCAGGAGAGGACCCGCACACTCTGTAGATAAAAAACGTCTCATTCTAAGGTAACGAACACATGATTCATTTATCAGCTGATTAAACACTAATAAAAACATACCTATGAATATTATATTATTATTATTATTATCATTAATATATTATTATTTGTAACACTTATACATGAAATATATGAATGAAAAAACATTAATGAACCAACACTGACGGTGATTTGACTCAGTCTGAAAAAAGTATTTTTCTCATCTGAGTCACAGTGAAGTTAAGATATTGACGATATTGAGGATATTGTGCATTAAGGAATCTTCAATAAAGTGATCCACACATACACCTGCAGGCAGATGTTGACAGATGTGTCATCAGAGCTTCATTCAGGGTTAATTAAACTTTATTTCTGTTTGTGTGGAAACAAAAGTGTGTGTGTGTGTGCGTTGATGTTTCTGCTCTATTTAACTCTCAGACTGAACTGAATCACTGGCTGTTTATTTTCTCTTTGTTTATTAGAAACAGTAAACGTGTCAGCGCCTCCTGCAGGATGCACAAGTCATTACACACACTAATAATAATAATAATAATAATAATAATAATAATAATGGTCTGACTGGTCCACCACAGTTGTAAAGTCACCCACCTTACACTCAGGAACTGTTGAAAGCGCTTGACCTCCGCCCACAGCCCGTCTGACTTCGCTCACAGCCTGTCTGATTGTAACCAGTGCAGAGACATCAGAGACCCTGAGGAGGATCATTTTTTGTGTTCAGACTCGCATCGCAGAATAGCATCAGAAGCAATTTGGGACTCAGTATCTTGCTCAAGGACACTTTGATATGCAGTGGGGAGGAGCTGGAAATCTAATCGCCAACCTTCCAATTAGTGGACGAC